TCCAAAAATTAAACAACTCTTAAAAACAAAGTTTTGGTATAAATACTTTATTTTATATGTATTTTTTATCATTTGTATTTCATATTAATTTCTCAACCACTTTTAGACCGCAGATTTGTTTCACCAACTATTTCAGGAAAACAAAAGAAAATATTACGCACCAAACACATTTGCGATATTTTTTTTTTCAAGATTGTCATTTAGCGAAGTTATCTGAAATTTTATTTTTTTGACATCAGTAGCATCATATTCCCTTCATCTACCCCTTAAAAAAAACGGAAAAGCTGATTTTGGGGGGTTGGGGCTGAAAATTTGATAGAATGTGTTGTCATTGGCAGCGAGTCTAGGTGCCAAGTTTCAGCTCAATAGTTTGGCGGGAAGTGGATCAATTAGCCGTCCGAAGATTTTGCCATATACCCAGACAGAGAGAAACATGAACAAAAGAGAAATTAATATAAAGGATTTAAAAGAAAATAGAAAATATAGCTTCTTTGAAAACTGAAAACTATAAAAATAGATGACTCAACAACATTAATTATTAAGAGGCGGCAATTTTTTTTTCTTGCCTATCACACAAAACTGGCTAAGGCCGGCACTGACGGCACTGACGGCACTCTCAGTTCTGTCATTTTGAAATTCTACTTTCCTTTCCCCAGACCCCGATATCTACAGCAGATGGGGGAATCCGATTTCGTCAAAGGGGAACCAACTGAGGAAATGCACGTTCAAGATTCAAGATCGCTTGCTTCGCTGTTACTTCCCATTAATCTGCAGACGATCATTTTGATACTGTTATGTGCAATATTTGCTACTTCCGAGACCTAACTCAAAGACATGTTTCATATGGGTTATATATTTTATAGCTAGTTCCATCTGTAGGGCCAACTTTGAGTCACTAGTTGCAATAAATTCCCATCCGGCTTTGTATAAACAAAATTGTTTTCATTCATCTGTAGTGTTCATTACCTCAAAGACAATTTTTCAAACCTCACATAAATTTACTTAAAAGAGAAAGATGTTAAATGAAAATGTTGGTCAAAGCTTTATTTTACACCATTTAAATGTAAATATTATTTATTTTAAAATAAAATAAAAATAATTTTTTTAATGTAATTACTCGAGGTTGTAAGTAGATTTCAGAAGTCAGAAATGGTAATAAATTCAAAATTTTTTTTAAAAATATAATACTATCTATTTGAAATAAGAAAATGAAAAGAGGCAATGGCATGTTATTTGGCTTTTTTATGCCTCTAAGCAACAAAAAAAAACAAGTCTTATTTTACAAACAGTTTCAGGGTTGAAATGAGTGATAAAGGCCATTCCTTTTCTTTATTTTACAAAACTGACCAAATATAAAAAAAAATACATTCTTTCATATGTAACCTAAATGTTTATTATAATTTCACATGTTCTGTCAAAATGTTCACTAAGAAATCATTTTTAAAAATATGCTGTTTAAAATAGTTGACTTTTCCCTTCATTGGCTTTAACAACTATTTAATTAAAAATTTTAGAATTTTCTTACTTTTTTCATAAAATAAAAAGCTTTGAAAAACATTTCTTCTCTATTGTTTACAGAAATAATTTGCAGCATCCGCGAGTTATTGATATGTGTGTTTTTCTCCATCTTAAAAAATATACCTGCAGTTCCAGTATTATGATTATAATTATTTATTTTCACAAAGTATAGCTGTTTGGTACAGATAATAATAATATAATTTTGTAGATGTATAGAGCAAAGCACGCTAAAAAAAATTTTGCTTTTTAAATCTTCAAGATGGAAAACAAAACTTTTGGACATATCAAGCACACTCAAAACAGAAATATTTCATTTGAGTTTAGGAGACTCTAATGATTACAGTGACCAGAACCATAAGAAAAGTTACTGTTAAACTTAAGTACATACAAAACTTTGATTTCATGACATTTTAGTTCTACTCTGAAGTTATTTTTAAATTATGCTTTAAAGCCAGCATAATCTGAGAAGAAAAAATCAATAATTTAACCATTAATAAAATGGCAGAGAAAAAATTGGTTTTTTTGGGTTTTTTTTTTTTTTTAGGACTAGAAAATATTTTAAAATGTTAAGTATAAATTACAATGAGATGATATTGAGGTTGTTTTTTTTTTTTAGGGGGGGGGGTTCAATCTTTGCCTTTTGCATCTAAACTTTTGGAATGTTAAAGTTTCAAATTTAATATGATCGAGATACTCATATTACCCTTAAAAAAACGAGATATTTGCACATCTGTTAAATAATGTCATTTTTTTTTTATATTCAGATTTTCAAAGAGCTTGGTTGAAAAATTGTAATCAGATCAAAAGCAATCTTTATGTGACTGCTAAATATTTTTTTTATTTTGCTTATTTATTTCAAAATTTAAAAAACATGTAATGTTTAAATAATAATTACTCTTTTCTTCCAACCATTTAATTTTATGCAATAATTAAATAAAAGAAATTCATGAGACATTGCAAATAACCCTACATCAGTCAAAAATACACAAAATATCAAAGTAACTTGAATTTAAATCAATTTTTGTTTATTTACTGATCCAATTTAATTTTAAGTAATGTATGTGCTGTAATAATATTTAATAAATAAATATGTACTTGTTTAACCAGCAAGGTTTATAGTTAGTCAAAGCATCTGTTAAGGATTGTTAATACCACTACCTCTATTCCACGAGTTTTGTTGTGTTTTTTGACTTGTTTGTTTGTTCAACTTGTGTGTTAATTTTAATCATGCCTTGGCATTTTTGTTTCTTTTGTTGAGGGGCGCCCAGAGCAAATCAAAGTAGTAAAAAATACAATTTTAAATTTGCTTTATAAACCTTTGCTCACTTATAAAACTTAAGGTTGTCACAATTTTTTGTAATGACTGTAAATTAGTCTCAAAGAAATCCTCTTACCCTTTCTCTTTTGATAAACAATGATATGTGAGGGACTGTGTCAGTGGGGGACTGTGTTGGTGGTGGACTGAGTTGATGGGGGACTGTGTTGGTGAGGGACTGTGTTGGTGAGGGACTGAGTTGGTGAGGGACTGTGTTGGTGAGGGACTGTGTTGGTGAGGGACTGTGTTGGTGAGGGACTGTGTTGGTGAGGGACTGTGTTGGTGAGGGACTGTGTTGAAGCCGTGTGAAGGAAAAAAACAGGACAATCAAAAGGACATTTTGGCTAAATGCCTTCTTCACCAGACAAAACAAGAAACAACAGATAGAAATAAAAAAACTCATGTGTTCAAAGATCTCCATGAAGCTCTTTGTTTGATAAACATGCAGCTTCTTATTTTGATATAGATCAATCATGACCTTTCACTTGAGAAATATTTTGTACTATAGTTTAAGCCTCTTAGGAGTCCAACTTGAAAAGAAGACCAAAGGAATTATTCTAAATTTTTATCTTACGTTTTCAACCTTCTGTTCTAATGTGATCTGCTATAGGGCTAGTTTCCTAGTTCATGACATGCATTATTTTAATTTTGTATGAAAAGACTCTCTCTTTAATTTATTCCATTTATAAAATGCCTTCATTAAATTATTGGAAATCCTCGTTTCACTGCACTTTATTTAAAAATACTTATGATGTTAATAACAAGTAGCATTCTCGTTTCAAAATAAAATCTTTACTTATCTCTTGAGTTTAATCATTTGCCTTTCTCCTTGTGTGGGTGATATTACCGGGTACTGAGACATAGAATAGTTGAACTTCACATTTCCAAGAATTATTTGTAACTAAGAAAAGGATTTGTTGTTAAAAAAAAATGTATAGTCTTTTGATTGAATTACGTTTTGACATGAAATAGTGTATTATGTTTGTATTATTTTCTAAAGGGAATTGTTTGTATGCATTTAATGATATCATGAATTATTTTAGTACTTCTATACATAAACAGAGATTTTTGTTGGTATGACTATAATAACCAGAATACTGTAAAAGAAATAGGTCCAAAAGTATGATTGAGATAATTTTGAAATATCATTCTTTGCTTGATTGTCTGCTGGCTTATTTTCATGATGCGATTGGTTGATTGTCTGCTGGCATATTTTCATGGTGTGATTAGTTGATTGTCTGCTGATCTATTTTCATGATGGGATTGGTTGATTGTCTGCTGACCTATTTTCATGATGGGATTGGTTGATTGTCTGCTGACCTATTTTCATGATGGGATTGGTTGATTGTCTGCTGACCTATTTTCATGATGGGATTGGTTGATTATCTGCTGGCCTATTTTCATGATGTGATTGGTTGTCTGCTGACCTATTTTCATGATGGGATTGGTTGATTATCTGCTGGCCTATTTTCATGATGTGATTGGTTGTCTGCTGACCTATTTTCATGATGGGATTGGTTGATTGTCTGCTCACCTATTTTCATGATGTGATTGGTTGATTGTCTGCTGACCTATTTTCAGGATGGGATTGGTTGATTGTCTGATGGACTATTTTCATCAAGAGTTATTTCATAAATTTCCATCTGTGTTTAATCAATGTTTTATCTTTAAATATTGTTATCATAAACAGTCCCAAATGTGTCTGTATGTCATTACTAATTTATTGGGCCCTCTCTGTGGTGGAATGTTTGTCATTTCAAATTTCAGTAAAAAAAAATGTCAAAAGCCAACTTGTTTGTTTTCATTCAATCATTAGCAGGTCCTCCATCTCATGTGCCGCTGACATCTCTGACCATCTGCTGACATCTCTGACCATCTGACAGGTCTTTAATTAAGTAGTTGCAAAAAATTATAGAGAAATTGACTGAGAACAATATAAATGATCCTCTTTTTAACATGGTCAGTGTCTGAAAAACATTAAAGTAGTTGTCAGGAATAACTCTAACAATAGGTGTTAAAAATGTTGCTGTAGTCTCAAACCAAATAGGTCCGTCTCTAGAGGGAGGGACATGGTGTAGAGATGTTGGGGAATAAAACTTTGACTCCACCCAAGACAAATAAAATCAATTGTCAGGAAATATTTATTTTTCTTAAAAGAAAGAAGATAGTCACTTTAAAGTTTGAACAAAAAAACATTTTAATACATGTAATTACAGGTCAACATGATCAGTTACATTAGCTGTCATTATTTTGTTAAAATTTCAACATCACCTTCAGGCTTGCTTGAAAAGATGATGAACTTCTTACATTAAACTATACAAATAAACCATGTTCACCTCTTGAAGAGAAGTTGGTTTAAAACTAACAGGAGCTCAATTACAGGAACAGATTGATGAAATATTTCATAGTAAATGATGTGTCAAATGTTTTTTAATTGCATACAAATCATCATTAACTGAAGTGAACCAACAGCTGATTACAATGACCCATATATTCTTGTCAAACTGAGAGATCACTCAGCACACAATTAATGGCAGTCCAAGTTTCAGTGATTGAGTTTTAACATAATACTAGTGATAGTCCACTTATAATGTGGATACCCCCAAATTGTTAACGTATTGAAAGTCCATACAGACTATAATTCACTTACGCCATTGCTAGTCCACTAGAATTTAGTTATTTAAGCTACATCTTTAAGGGAAAAGTTCTAAAAAAAATGGACGCCTACCGCAAATAGAATCCAATCCATGTGAAATTTTCACAGTAAATAAATTGTGTGGAAGGAAATTCAATTTGAATAGCTTATGTACAGTTTTAACAGAATCTTTTCTTGGGGTATAAAAATATCCATAAAAGACTAACAAGTTAACAATAATTTCAGCTTCCTTCAAAACCCAAACTTAGGCAACAAGTTGTGAGTAGAAACCAATCTTCAGTGTAGAGCAATTGTTTTCAACTTTCTTCCTCTTTTTTATCTCTCTTTGGTGGGGCCTGCAACCTGTTGGCCTGTGAGACAAAAATCATTTGTGAATGAAAAACATTGTTGATCATAATCTATCCCTTGAGTTATTTGTGGGCTAGAGTTTTATAATATTGCAGTGCCTATGATATGTTAATGGGGGGAATGACAAGTCAGAGATTGGGCCACAGTGAGGTGTTTACAAATTGGGTAAATAAAGAAAATGACTGGAAATAAAATTAATTCTGTTCAGTTCAGTTGATGAGTAATAGATAGTAAAACTGTGTTAATAAGAAAAAAAATGGTAATTTTATGCATTGTGAGATAAAACTATTTATGCAAAGCTAAATAATTCAATTCCCGAATGTTTCTAGGCAAAAGACTCTCAATTACAAGAAGCAGCAACTCGACAAATTGAAGAATTTCATGTGACCAATAATATTCGCCTTTACATTAACCCATGCCGGGTGTGACGGTTGTTCTTACTTTTACAAATCCTCTGTGTCTCATGAGATCATCAACCCTGGCATTGTAGAAGTCATAGACAAACTGGGCCATCTGTGGCATGTCTGAGATGACAATGGGGGATTCACTGGGAGGATCCTGAAGCTGGAAGAGAAATCACCAATAGTTTTAGTCAAATTCTCAACTCTTTTCGTCTATTTAAATAACAATAGAATGAACAATGCTAATGGTTTAATGACAAATAAGAACTACACACTCACTAACATCAGACAACAAAAGAACTACACACTCACTAACATCAGACAACAAAAGAACTACACACTAACTAACATCAGATAACACAAGAACTACACACTCACTAACATCAGATAACACAAGAACTACACTCTCACTAACATCAGACAACACGAGAACTACACACTCACTAACATCAGACAACACAAGAACTACACACTCACTAATGTTTATTTTGATGGCCTCTAACTGTTAAAATGTAAGGAAATTGTTTTACCTTCCTTGTACAAGGGTAATTCTCATTTGGCAATAAATGTAAAACTTGAGGTCTGGATGTCAGCTGTTGGTGAAAATTTTACATTTATTTTATTATTGAGACAGTATATGTCACAAAGAATGAAAATCTAATCACTTTTAATATTAACCTACAAATTTCAGTTTGTTCTAATCACTTATATTTTTTTTTAAACATCAAAGTATTAATGCAATTTGCACAATTTGTGTAATCATGACTAAGTATATTGCACAAGGCCAGGGTGTACTGGTGACATTATTAGTTAAGAAATCATTTCTAAACAATATTTTTTTAAAGATTGGTTTAAATGAAAAAAGGAAGTGAAAAGATAGAACGATAATGTTGTTTAAACTCAACCAAATATAATCGACGAAAGATACAACTCCCTTGCCGCAATGAAAGACATCAGTTATTTTATTTGGGATTTAAAAATAAAATATCTATCCATACTTACTATGTTGAAGGCAGGTGTGAGCTCAAAGCAGTTACTGAACAAGGAGGAGCGAGCAAATATGTAGAGACCCAATCTGGCACGTGACATGGCCACTATCAAACGCCTTACATCTCTAGAAACAGAACAATAGGATGGTTTTAGCTTATCTCTCCCTGAGCCTAGTACACATTGATGGCAGATAAAATAACTCTAGAAACAGAACAATAGGATGATTTTAGCTAATCTCTCCCTGAGCCTAGTGCACATGGTTGGCAGATAAATTAACTCTAGAGTAAAAAAAAGCATCGATCAGACTTTTGTAAAAAAATTAATTCATAACGTCTCTCTTAAGTTTTCACAGATGTCTTGTAAGATAAAAGATAAAAATACGTACCTGAGGTGACCGACTGCTCTGGTTCTTACAAGTGAGAGGAGAATAAAATTGTTTTGTTGACCCTGGTATCGATCTACTGTGGTTACCTTAGGAAATAAACATGTAATTACATTTGGCAAGTATATATAGCATTGCAGTTTCACAGCAAAGGTTGTTGTAAGTCACAAGAATTGGTATGAATAAAGAAAAAATTAAGAACAAAGCCTTTAAAGGGAACTAAACCTAAAATTATATGGATATAGTACAATGAATTTTATCTCATCTAACAATAATTTTCTTTGATGTTGTTCCTCTCCGAAACAGCAAAGAATTTTTAAAACTAAAATCTTGTGTTGCAGAACCCAAACGAGATGAATATTGTGGGAAAATTACTGACATATTCCAATAAAAGATTTTTTTGTAAATTTGATTTTATGAAATAATTAATAGATCTAAATGTTGAGCCATTTTTCTGTGTCATTATAACTTGATTAGAAAATTCATTAAATTAAACATAATAAAAAGGGGTAGTGATTTGTAAATCTAATTATTGAATGAGATTTTAATAGTTTACAGAGAATTTTTCATACTTTTTATTCCCAGGAGTTAAAATGTTTAAAAAATATACATCAAAAAGCATATTTTTAACTTAAGCCACAAGGTAAAATACAAAAAAAATGGTTGTTCTTGACAACAATAAAAGATGGTTGCTCTTGACAACCATAAAAGTGGTTGCTCTTGACAGCAATAAAAGTGGTTGCTCTTGACAACAATAAAAGTGGTTGTTCTTGACAGCAATAAAAGATGGTTGCTCTTGACAACAATAAAAGATGGTTGCTCTTGACAACAATAAAAGATGGTTGCTCTTGACAACAATAAAAGATGGTTGCTCTTGACAACAATAAAAGATGGTTGCTCTTGACAACAATAAAAATGGTTGCTCTTGACAACAATAAAAGATGGTTGCTCTTGACAACAATAAAAGTGGTTGCTCTTGACAACAATAAAAGTGGTTGCTCTTGACAACAATAAAAATGGTTGCTCTTGACAACAATAAAAGTGGTTGCTCTTGACAGCAATAACAATTGTTGCTCTTGACAGAAATAACAATGGTTGCTCTTGACAACAATAACAATGGTTACTCTTGACAGCAATAACAATGGTTGCTCTTGACAGCAATAACAATGGTTGCTCTTGACAACAATAACAATGGTTGCTCTTGAAAACAATAACAATGTTTGCTCTTGACAACAATAACAATGGTTGCTCTTGACAACAATAACAATGGTTGCTCTTGACAACAATAACAATGGTTGCTCTTGACAACAATAACAATGGTTGCTCTTGACAACAATAAAAGTGGTTGCTCTTGACAACAATAAAAGTTGTTGCTCTTGACAACAATAAAAGTGGTTGCTCTTGACAACAATAAAAGTGGTTGCTCTTGACAACAATAAAAGTGGTTGCTCTTGACAACAATAAAAGATGGTTGCTCTTGACAACATTAAAAGTGGTTGCTCTTGACAACAATAAAAGTGGTTGCTCTTGACAACAATAAAATTGGTTGCTCTTGACAACAATAAAAGATGGTTGCTCTTGACAACAATAAAAGATGGTTGCTCTTGACAACAATAAAAGATGGTTGCTCTTGACAACAATAAAAATGGTTGCTCTTGACAACAATAAAAGATGGTTGCTCTTGACAACAATAAAAGTGGTTGCTCTTGACAACAATAAAAGTGGTTGCTCTTGACAACAATAAAAATTGTTGCTCTGGACAACAATAAAAATGGTTGCTCTTGACAACAATAAAAATGGTTGCTCTTGACAACAATAAAAGTGGTTGCTCTTGACAACAATAAAAGTGGTTGCTCTTGACAACAATAAAAATGGTTGCTCTTGACAACAATAAAAATGGTTGCTCTTGACAACAATAAAAATGCTACAACAAATTGCTGATAATGTGGAGTTTAAAAATCATTTTTTCAATAAAATTAATTCAGTTGAACTTAAAACAAAATACAAGACAATCCCATCAATGGTTTAGTTCTTATTAAAGTGATCAATCATAAAGATGGTGGCCCAAAATCAGATTGGTTTATTAAAGGATATCTATAAAATGTTATGTAGGTACGTACCTTGTGTGGTCGACCGATGAGAGGGTTGTTCCCACACCGCTGCTGTATCACATCTCTGATAAGATGCTTCTGTCCGTTGTATGTGGTCAATATTGAGATCTGTTCCCCTGGGTACCCAATCATGCGCATGTACATGAACACCGCAACCACATACTCAGCTTCAGCAAGGTTCTGAAAATAGAAATGAAAATGTGGCTTATTTACTTAAGACATGGAAAAATCTATTTATTTTTCTCATTCCCAATTTAGGTATAATAATAAGCCTACATGCTTAAATATTTTATTGAGATTACCATATAAAAGTAAGTGTTACCCTGACCTGTTTACCCCTCGAACTCCTAAAATCATACAATATCATCTCAAAATCATAATACAGTATCTTAATAGTAAATAAATAAACATAAAGTACATATAATGTATACAATAACTATTGGCCTCAAGTGTTGAGTGGGATCTAGTTAAGAGGAGGTCACAAAAAGTAACTTCCAAAAGTAAATGACTGAAGTTTATATTGCAATCTGTGTTCACTTTGTTTTGAAGACATGTATCTGCTACGGATATCAATTAATATTTGGTGAACATGCTCATCCCATTATCACAGTCTGTCACTGGTAAAAACAGTTCACTGATGAAATTTAACATGGTTCAAATGCTAAGTTAGTTCAGCATGAAATTAATTAATTAATTTATTAAATAAGAACTAATTAACAAATGAGGATATCATTTACAAACCCTTCCAAGAAATTTGAAATTTATTTTTTATGAAAAAGCTGGTTATTGAACAAAAGAAGAATCAATATTCATTAGGCTATTTCCCGTTACCATAATATAATCTGATAAATACTACAAGCTGTAAATGGGTGAAAGGAAGAGGAGTGTTGAAACCAAACGGGGGAATAAAATATTGTACAGCTGTTTTGTGCAATCTAAAAATAGATTTCAAAGACCCTCTCAGATCCTACAAAATACATAGAAATCTCATGTTGCTGTGTGGAACAGTTGCGAATGCATTTCTAATTTTTTTAAAAACTAGTTTTCTCAGTTTATGCACTTGAAGCAGCTTAGCCAAAAGAAACAATTATATCACAAAATTTACATTATACAGCACCAAAGCAATCATAAGCGAAGATTGACTAAATTATCACGAGGGTGATTACGCTTATATTACTGTTGCTATGTCTAGCAAGTTCATTATGAAAACAAAAAGTAATAATATGACCATCATTATGAAAACAAAAAGTAATAATATGACCATCATTATGAAAACAAAAAGTAATAATATGACCATCGTTATGAAAACAAAAAGTAATAATATGACCATCATTATGAAAACAAAAAGTAATAATATGACCATCATTATGAAAATGTGGTGTTAACATTTTTATAGACTTAAATATTTAGACACACTTCCCCCGGCACACCCATAAACAAAATCTCCTAAATCAACACCACCCGCCTTCCCCTCTCAGGGCAAACATAATATAATTTTAGATGGTCCCCAACCAATCGTATTTCTCGATCCATTCACCACTGCATGTTGTAAGGACCTAAAACTAACAACCGAAAATAAACCTTTTTTTATTTTTTTAAATCGGAAGATTACCGGAATGTATATATTTTAAAAATATTTTCTCTTAAAATCATTGTTATCACAGGTCTTTGTGTACAATCGTCAAAAACATCTCAAAACTATACAGTGTACAAAAATTGTAAGAGTAAATAAGTCTGGTTATCTGATAAAAGTAAGGGTTACCGATTTAAAGTAAGTGTTACCTGATAAAAGTATGGGTTAGGTTCAGATTCTCCCATGCCATTAAAGTCTCCAACATCGATGAGTTGAAATTCATGCATGAATCCTGCATTGGCCAGACGGAACTCTGGTCTGATGAGAACATGGGGCAGGGAGCCAAGTTTCTTGTATCGCCAATTGTATAATTGGGCAAGGCTGAAAAGTTGTTTTCAAAAATAAAGTATCTGCTGAAATCCATTGTCATATTTTAAAATAAAATATTATACAATGAAATTATAGCTTAAGAAAACACCCATAAAATTTCTTTGAGTCATGAATTAAACAAACTTTTTCAGAGGTAACAGGCAGCAGGAGTGCTAGGTAATCTAAATGCTATAGCAAAACATTTGTGGAAACAATATATGAAAACAATTAACTTGATTACATCAATCCCAAAAGGAGTGTTTTAAGATCACTCTTATCAAAACAAGGGTTTTTCTGTCTATAGGTAAGAAAATCTAATGTGTAGATCCTGTGGGTCTGATCATTAATGTTTGTGAGTTAAACAAATCACTAACCTCGATCTGGCTCTGCCCTGGGCATCTAAATCAACCGTTGGTATTCCCAGCCTGACCAAACGGGTAAACAGCGACTGCTCCATGTTGGAGAACTTCTGGAAAGCCATGTTCTTGATGACCGGAGGAAGCTGGTGGTGATCTCCAATCATGATCCACCTCTTTAACCTGTTGTTACCATCTTTGGGGTTCTGTCGGGAATTATGTTAACAGAAATAAATAAGTCTTTGGGGTTTCTGTTGGGGATTATGGCATTAAATATGTTTCTTGATCTTCCTTTTAAAATTTCAACATAAATTGTACTGATTGTTATTTAGTCATTTTTATCTTGTCAGGTCATTAATTAGACCAAAGCCAACATGCAGCTAGAGTCAATGAAAGAGGCAATACACATCCATTGGCTAATAAAATACACATATCTTTGACTGATAAAATACACATATTTATATGCTGATAAAATACCCATATCTATTAGCTGATAAAATATGCATATCTATTGGCTGGTAAAATACCCATATCTATTAGCCGATTAAATACCCATATCTCATTGGCTGATGAAATAGAAGAAAAAATTATTTTTAAAGTTAACATAAACTTGAATATTATCATAGAACCTGAAAATTTTATCTGCAAATTGTTCTTTATTTTTAGTAAACATCAGTTTTTAAATTGAGTGACTTAAAAGGCAATGTACCTGAAGGAGCAAGGGGATGAATGTCTCAATTTCTAAAATCTGGGCCGACTCTTCCATAAGAATGTTGTCAAACTGAAAGTATATGTAATTTTATTTTTTAAAATATTGAAATAAAGTAATAAGAAAATGAAAAATTGAATATCACCAATACTTCACCAGCTTATCTAATTTTTAAAAAAACATGCATTTAAGGTAAAAAAAACAACTTGTATTTAAGGTAAAAAAAACAACTTGTATTTAAGGTAAAAAAAAACAAAATGCATTTAAGGCAAAAAAACATTTTAAAAAAGAAAGGAAGCAATGACAAAAGTGAACTCTAGATAGACCCTCTCAGCATAATCCATGTAATTTTTCAAAAAATTAAATAAGTAAATTAATTATTTTTTTTAAATTCCAGCAAATTTATAGTGCAATAAATTTAGTTTAAATTAGTTTAGTTTAATTTTGATCAGTCAAATGTTGACTATTTGCTTTACCTGGAAGCCAACTGTTACCAAATCTCTGCGTTTCAGAGCTGCATGTGTACACGTCATGGCAATGATCTTGGCCTCTTTGATCAGAAGGTAGTTGGCTCTGTCAGAGCCACTTCGTAACAGTTCAAAAGCTCTGAATTCCTGAGTAGAAAATGGGAAACATATTAGCAAGTAATACTCAATGAAAAACAGATATTGACAGTTTCTATTCCTCTACCAGACCTCTTGAAATTTTTACTTGACAATGAACTTTATTCTCTACAGATTTATGATCATCTGCCTGGGTGAATCTTGTACTAAACAAATTTTAGCTGTAGATCCGCGTTATTCAAAATCTTTTCTATGTCTAATATAAGTCACTAGAACAAATTAAATCAAAATTTAAAAGCCCAATTTTTTAAACCAGTACCCCAGCCATGGTTTCACCCTAGCCATGGTTTCAAACCCAGCGATGGTTTCACCCCAGCCATGGTTTCACCCCAGCCATGGTTTCACTCACTTCCAATTGTGTGAAGATTTTCTTGATGTGTGTGAAACATCCTTCAGCTATATCCATATCTTCAGCAAATGTCTTACCACGAAACAAGGGTTGTGGAGCATTGGCAAAAAAATTGTTGAAAGGGAAAAGTGACTGAATCTGCTTAACATGTTCATCCTAGAGAAAGACAAATAAGCATATAATGATTAAATGTAAACATGAGCTTATTCTAGTAATGAAGGAATGTGCTATGCCATCAATGATTTGTTTAAATGTATATACATATATGTAAATGTATACAGGCGTTTGTCCGTGTGAAGCTGGAAGCTATTTATATCTCTGTTATTTGAGCTATTTATAAAAAATACTTGTAAGCTTTTTATAAACACATACCTGACCCAAATATGGCTTGAGTTTACTGTGATACTCTTCCCATCTTGAAAGAATCTTGAGGATGAGATAAACACAAGTGATGCAACTTTAACTATAAATATATTAAAAATGTATTAACAAAATTAATTAACCAAACCAAAACCAAAACATTGACAGATATTTTCTGAAACTACTACAGGCAAATTCTCAGTAGCATTCCAACTTTATCCACATCCACGGTTACATGGATAATTTCATAGAATGAAAAACAAAAAAGCTGGCATAACATTTTCAGAATGATTAATTTTGTCCTAAATTTTAAAAAATCTGTTTTTTTAACCTGATAAATGTAAAAATAGCCAGCGGTTTCACAGGTGTAGGACATGTCCCCTGTCTCACCAAGACTGATCTGTAGTCTGTTGACCTCCTGCAACAGTTCTAACCTCTGTGCCAAAACATAATTAACACGACCATATCTGTTAGGTGCAGAAGAGGATTATATTTTATTAATTAGCACCAATTCATTTAACACCTGTATAGAAATTTCATTTCTTCATATTTTTAAAAGCTATGTTCATGATCTCTCAATAAATAAGTGAGATTTTTAGGGGATTGGCTAAAACGAAGTTATCAAAGTCAGAACAAGGATATTTGATCAAAAAAATTATGTTAACATCAATATTATAGTGCTTAAAATTGTTTACCATAATAATCTAAATTACATAATTCTAGATAAAATTAAGCCCTAAAGCTCTGTCATGAGGAGACGGAGAAATAAATGAAACAAAAGCTTGACCTGCTGAAATCTTTTTCTGTCTCAAGAGCCTCCTCACCATGACCAAGACGTAACAAATGTCTCTCATCGACATCAAGGGCCATAATCTTTTCAAAAAGCTGATTTAGGGCCTAAAATACAAATATTATATTTATAAGAGTTGTAACACTTCTTCCCAGAATTTCCTGTGGCATATTAGAAAAAGGCATCAAGAATTACAATAAAGCCCCCCCCCCACCCCCCCTCTTTCATTGTTTTTATTTAAATATTTAAAATTTCTCTCCCTTCAGTGATTTAATAATTGTGCACAGTACCAACAAACAAATTTGCTATAAAAAAAATCTTGTTCATTTTAAATTTCCATTTTGTGATCATATGTTTCTATCAATTCTTTTTTTATTACTGTAGCTCAATGATTCATTTGGTTACTATTTTTTAAGCCAGGCAATCTGTTCAACATGTTTTAGAGACACATAGCAAAAATATAATATTAATAACTTAACTGTTCAAAAATGAAAGATAATCGCCCAACACTACTATTTTAAAGAGGGAGAAAATAAATAATGACTAAATGCACATTTTTTTTCTGATTTACACTTTGACAGTAAGTCACTGGTTTCTGCAGTTGACGTTTGTTTACCTGGTTGGAATGAGTGACAACCAGCATCCTCTGGTTGGGGAAGTTGTGGTAAATGTTTGAGATGATCTGAACAGCCACATCAGTCTTTCCAGTACCAGGAGGACCCACAACCATGGTCAGTCCTGGCTGCATACCGGCTCGGATGGCCTCAATCTGGGTGGGGGTGAACTGGATGGCATTTCTTGGATGAAAAAAAGAGAAAAGTGGGGGTAGTGGGGGAGATAGAAACAAATGTCAATATAATAAGGAGCTTCAAATTTTTTATATTTATGAAGTTTTACAGGCTGGAGGGAATCGTTAACATACAAAAATATTCGAATAATGTTCAGATAAATTACAATTAAAATTATATTGTTTTCAATTTGCTTCTTATTCCTTATACATATTCAAAGGAATAGGTCATACTTTTTTTATGAGATCATGGTATTCATCTTACTAAAAATTTAAAAATTAATAACACATATTTTTTCTGTCATGACTAAATATTGTAAGAGACCTTGCTTACTCTCTGACAAACTTCCTCTAGATCTGGTACTCAATAAGGAAACAACTCCGGTGATACATTTGATGAGTAAACTCGTGTTCTTTATTGGCTCTGTCACTTGCTTACACTTTCATTCATCTCACAGCTCTGACTGCCCTCTTCCTCTACCGTCGCTGTTCTCTACCTCTGTCTGCTCTCTGTCGTT